ATTAATATTTCAGGAATATTATTTAATATTATATAATTTTAGTAAAATATTATTTAATATTAAATAATATTATGCGCTTATAGGGAATTTGCTTTTCGATATTGGCAACTTCAAGTCCAATATAATAGAGAAATTCATTATATCGCAGATTGGCAGCCTTGAGTCTAGAATTTTTACCTAAAATAACTAGGAAGGAGAGGAGGGGGGAACGACATGGACATTGGACGATCGTAAAAACTTCGCCATCGTGAATTATTTGAATTCCGAATCTACAACAAATGGAGGATGGAGAATTGTTTAAACTCGCCTTCGAAGCAACGAGAAACTGGAGGAACGTCCAATGTATGTCCCAAAAATGATACTGTCCGACATGCACCACGAAACATGCAAGATGCGGTGTCATATTTAAAACGAAAAAGGATTTATGACATCATCGATTCTCTGCTCGGCGAGCTTCTGCTACGTCGACCCCATGATCCTTATGAATATCTGGTCCAACTCCTAGATAGACGTATTTTGACTCGCGACGGCCTCGTTGATTCTCCTCCTCCTTTCTGCTCTCGGTAAATAGATCCATCAATGTATTCTGTTTTATAATTTATATTGGCACAATGATGATCGAGGTGATTCTTTAGGGATATAATAAGACAGGCAAGACAAGCAAATCTGCTCACATTACTGGAATTAACGACTAATGGAGCGAAGAAATCTTGAGCGAAAAACATGCCATATAAATAAAACGTAGAATAATGGAGTAAAAATTTTCGTGGATTGAAATGTTTTCATCGAAAGATCACTTAGACATACAGTTTTTGTGTTTACATCTTTATTTACTTAACTAAAAAATTAGAAGAAAAATCCCAATATTTTTCCTCCGAGATGTTTTCTCCTAGCCTCCTCGTGATCCATAATTCCTCCGCTAGTTGTCAATACAACATATCTGAGACATAAATAAAAATGTATATTATACAATTATTTCCTTTAAAGTTTAATTAACACAATTCGTACATTAAAATCACACTAAACACGCAAATACTCAATAATAATCTTATAATAACTTTGAGCATACTTTTCACTTGAACTGAGTAATCTTTCAAGTATACTTTTTTATTTTATTTTATTCTTGCTAGTATAGTGTACTATATTACATAAATTTAATTTAGTAATCAAAATAAATAGGAAATTTATATTTTATATAGCAAATGTAAGAAAAAATTTCTCATATATTACAAATAAATAAGGACTTACCCAAACTGTCGAGAAGGTAAGAGATTATTGGTCCATTTCTCGATGTCGTTGATAGGTACGTCAAATCTAGGTGAAATGACGCCGCATTTGTTTAACCTTCCGGTAAGATTCACTACTACTTTCCCACTGCGATGATCATCCACAATTTCAAACTCTCCAATATACCCTGTGTAAAATATATATATAAATGTTTTTATATTTATGTATAAATATATATGTAACATATAAAATACATTAATAATAAAAAATATATGTATAAATTAAATATTTATTAAATATAATACAAATTATATACTGGATTCACTTACCATGCTTCATCATGACAGTCAAGAATTTGACAATCACCTTGGAACAGGGTCGCAACAACACCTGCCGCTTTCCACGTTTTTCAGCATTATTGATTGCCTTCAAGGCATCGCTAAGAACGTTCATACGCACCATGGCTGAAAGCCAAACGTCGCAAGCATTAATAACTTACATATATTTACATATGCAATCATGTTATATTTTTCGATATAATTCTTTAAAATTAAATGCTTTCCAGCAAGAACACAGTATAACATAGTAAATCATTACATTCTTATTATTTACCAATATTAAAGAAAAATGAAATAATCATATATTATATTAGAGTTGTTCTTTTTAGCTGAACTTCTTACATAGTCTTTTTTTTCCAACGTGAAGAAAAAAGAAAAAAATGAACTGTGCACAAAGTTCAGCTGAATGGAACAGACTTACTGTGTCTCTTGTTGAAAAGCACCAATTGTGCATATTCTACAGAAAGCTTAACTTTAAACAAGTTTAACGCAATATAACCAGCTGTACATATAGTTAATTTATTACTGCACGATCACCAAAAAATAAATGTAATAACGTAGTTACAAGCTATACAAATTTAAATATTGTAGTTTTATCCGTGGACGCTTTGGGTTCCTATAATAGTTCTATTATTATAGGAGCACTATGGATACCACGAGAGATAACCTAACCTAACCTTCATACAAGGCACAGTAAACAGATAAAAACTAATTGTTGCACTATACACAAAAAAGTAAATTTTATAAGATTCTTCAGTTATATCGTAACGCTCATGTCTTTGGGATACACTTTTTGCGATTTAAGCGGAAAACAGCTGGTGAAAGAAACGATGGAACAATTGCACCGGTTCATCTTGCATTTCAAATATTTCATGAACGTTTCGTGCCGAGCGTTAAATACCATCATCGGGATACACAAACGGATTCAACGCACCGTTCACCGCGTTAATATGAAGTTGATGGGTTTTATCACGAAAGATTACCTGCGATTCGTAATTTATTTGTCGCGGTATCGTACACGCGAATTCAACGTGAACATAAAAAGGAGCAAACCCGCATCGCTGGCGTCGCTGCTATCGGCACTGTCGCTAGCGTTTTTGACGCGTGCGCATAAAGCTGGTTCTACATAAAGTCACTAGATTAACTAGATTATGTTAATCTAGTGACTTTAGTTCTACATTAGTCGCATCGCAGCGTCGCAACGTTGCGGTCCAATCAACATCAATCTAGCTCGGCTCTGATTGGACCAAAACGCTTGCGACACTGCGATGCGACTAATGTAGAACCAGCTTAACTGGAACCCGCATTCCTATTACTTTGATTGGAAAACGTTGGAAAATATATCCATTGCGTGAAGTTTGATAATACGATTGACAATGAGTACTTTCCATTTAATGACACAAGTCGACACAAATGTTAAATCTTTCTTTACATTCCATGAGTAATAAAGACAAAACAATACTTGTGTCACTAAATAGAAAATACCTAATGATGATCGATAAAAGTAATATAGCAAACAAGGAAAAAAATGATTTTTGTGTACATTTTAATCATTTACAGAACATGGATTTGTTATAAAGGGTTGTTAAAAAATATATATGACATTAAACATTTGTTCAAAAAATGTGTATATATCTATATTAACAAAATTTGTACGGTCACTTCTTTGAGATGCGTACAATACATATAACTATACAATGTTCCATATATAAAAAATATTACAATCATTGAATTTATTATTTTACAAGTTAATGTCGATCGAAAATAAAAAATAAATATGTACAGCATTTGATCATTCTTTAAAATATCAACTAGGTTGAGCATCACTGTTCTTTACTTCAACTGGACTGAGAATGGTAAGCACATATTGCAGAACTTTAACTAATTCCTGCTCCTGTTTACTAGCATCGATACTTGACAACGTAAATCTGCCGAGGGCTTCCCGAATGCTTTGAGAGAACCCGGCACTTCGCATAATAAGTTTTCCTTTTTGGTTGTTACTGATCAAAGACCACAGCATGGATCCAGCTAAATTGATCTCATATGGCGATCCATTCTTAAAAACGTCGTGCAACAGATTTATGAAATCCACTGTAAAATAACAAACATAGTGTAATATGCAATAAATATAAATTATTGCATCTTTCCTGCATATTTTATATTTATATATTTATATACCTGAACTAAGAAGCCGAGGTCTATTCGCTATGTTGAAAGCTAAATTGCGTAATATCGATATTGCGAGTACTCTGTTCGTTGATGAAGGACATTTTGCTAAATGCATTAGGACGTCTAGAGAATCAGTGGCCTAAAAAAGATACTATATATATAAAAAAAAGATACTATAAAGATACTATATACTTATCAAACAACTAATATATTTCTCTATATGTTACCTTTGGCACGCACAATTGCCCTTCCTCGTAGTAAGTAAAATCTAATAAAAACTCTAGACAATACATTTCCACTAATGGCCATGGTTTCGTTCTTTTGGTGATAGTAGGATGTATCTTGGTAAAAAGTTGAAGAAGATTACTCTGTGAAATGAACAATTAATTCACAATTAATCAGTTTGGAAATGCTCGTACTACTAAGCACATTCTCATTAAGGCTATTTGCTTAGTGCGCTCTGTAAGCTTCTATTTGTATCGTTCATTACGTGCGAAAGGAAGATAGAATGAAATTTACAGCGAGTGAGCGCTCAAAGCAAACGCAGTCTGAGTCTCATTGTTTCAAAACTATTCTGTAATTGTAATAATAGATAGATGTAATTACCTTCGAAATGCAGACTCTACACTCGTGAACATGCACCGCGTTTCGCAGGATGTGGAAAGCAAAGTGCATCTTGTGATTATCGAAAATTTGACCGGCTCTTTCTATTTCTTTGCACGTTACTTGTATAACAACGTGTATCAACGCGAGCGTATTTGGCGTTTTCCTTAATCCACTTCCCGGTAATAACGTCGTTAATGTTAAGGATTGTGCGGCTAAAAATGCGGTAAAATTAATTAATTTAAAAAGATGCTAGAGAGAAATCGTATCCTTGTTATCAATGGGCGCGTTCAAGTTGACAAAGCGGCTAGCCAGCTCGCCGAGCAAATAAACATAATTGATTGTTACTTATAGATCCAACCAATCATATTCAATCGCTCGGTAAGCATGCATAGCTGCTTTGCCTTCTTGACTCGCCCAATATTATTAATAATTAAATGCTTTTAAATCATCTTACCAACATTACATTTCGTTGTGAACGTCGCCAGTAATTTTAAGGCGGACGTTGATACTATTTTATTTAACGCTATCCAAGCCCATAACTTATGTACTACGTCTGCCAAGCCTTCCTTTGTTAGGCTTTCCTTAACATATGCGTCTCCGCACATAAAGTTCATCAGAAGTATGAAGATACAATTCACATCGTGCAACAAAGGATGAATCTGTAATAAAAAAGAAAGTTTTTATAAATTCGTATAGAAATTGTGATTGCTTCCATATAAATGTGTTAAAATCTTCCTTTACCTTCTTTTCCGCTTGCTTCTTGTAAAGCTCAAATGGTTGAAGATTCAATTTGACATACAATTCTTTTAGGATCATCAACGCAGTCTCAGGAAGATTACCCCATAATGCCGTTCGTTTCGCCTTCTTTGACACGCATAGTAGATTAGTAAGGGCGCCTACAATGAGATCTTTATCCTCCGATTGTTTGCTGCTCTTTTTGGATTTTGCATAGCTATGAGCGATGAAAAGATGCAGTAATAGTCCACATAATTCGTCTCCTATAGTAGCTTGTTCTTGATTCGGTAGCTTATCGTCTTTCGCATGTGAATCTTTCTCGCTTTCATTCGATTTTCTGGAATGCGCGTTTGCGTCCCTTATTGATAATTTGTTGATATTTGATATGACATCTCGCAAAATACCATCCTTGCTTTCAATCGAAACGTGTGCCACATTAGTATCCAGCACAGTTTGTAATAAAAATGTGCTATTTCTTCCCAAGGAATCTTTCTGAATCTCGTGAGACAGTAGGAAAGCTAAGAGGCTAATGGCACTCATTCTCAAATCTGTTGTAGAGTCCCTTATCGCGAAACAAATGGAAACCATGACCGTTTCAGAGCCACATAATTCTAACGCGCTTTGAATGGCTTCAAAGTGCTGGTCCTCCGTTAACGA